ACCAAAAAAAAAAAAAATACTCGAGCTCGACTCGATCTCGTCATAACAAGTTGTCATTTGGAGTAGGGTTGCAGTGCTCGAGTCAAAGCTCGATTCGAGCTCGTTTAACTGAACTCGAGTCGAGCGGAGCTCGGCCCATATTTTACATCGTTGAGCGGCTTGAGATATATGTTAAATTATTCAAGTGTCCTGCGTATATATTTAAATAATATATACCACATATGCTTAATGGTAATTTTATTTTTCTCATATAAAATTTTCGAGTCATGCTCGAGCATTTTGATTTCGAATCGAGCTCGAACTATTGTATTTTCTTATCGAGTCGACAGCGAGCCCCATAACTCGAGCTCGAGCTCGAGCAGCTAATAAAAAAAATCGATACTGCTCGATAAGGTCAATACTTGACTCAGCTCGGCTGAAGATATGAGAAAATAATAAGAATTTAGAGACATTTTTTTGTTTTCGCTTTTCTTGTTTGGAACATGAAATTATGCATTATTTTTACTTGAGTTATGTTGATCACGAATTTTATGCTCTCACGCATAGTCCATAAAGTCGCGGTTTTAGTGCAAAATTTTGCAAAACATTGTTACTGTAATATAGTATATTTTTTTTTTTATAAAAAAAAATATAGTATAATTTTGGAAGATTTTACGGTCCTGTTACGCAACCATTCAGTCGGGGTTTGCAACTGTTAGATCAACAATGATGGTTACATGATGATCTAACGATTACAAATCCCGACGGAATGATTTCGTAACGGGACTGTAGCAGAAGAAAGCAACTACATGTATACTATCAATGAAATATTACTGTAATTTGTAAACTTTTGTTGAAGCATTTATTAAAAGTTAAAGCACTTTAAATCAAAGAGATTACTGGTATCGAGAATAATATCGTCAGCAGGCCCACTCTACAATTGCGAGGAATCAAATGTCAGAACTCAGAAATGGCAATGTGTGAAGCTTTGGTTTTGCATGTCCTTTTTTTCCTTTTTTTTTCTTTTGTTTTTGTCATATTCTTATCATTTTTACCGTATGTAATGTAGTGAAATATATGCCTCAAAGGCTAATTTTATTGAGATATATTGACTGCCATTAATGCTTCAGCAAGTTTGATATAGTAGTCAAAATAGCTTCGTGAACATGCTTGAGTGGTTAGCTCGATTATGACCAGTTTAAAGGAGCTTAGTTTCAGCATACAACCTTGTCAAGGAGCTCAATCAGGTAGCTCAAGGTACAAAGAGCCCGTAGGTCAATAATCACAAGAGCTCGGATACTGAACAAGATTTTGTGATCCGGAGGTCGTAGCATAGGATGTCGTGGTTACGACCTAGTTACAGAGCATGGTAGGTAGGCGGGCAGGTTGTTCGGGCGACCTAGAGTACCTAAGAGTCGTATGGTAAGATGGGAAACTATCGAGCGTATCTTTTTAAGTTGTCTAAGATTTTAGAGACGTGGTAGGTTAGGAAAGTGGATACAAAAAGATCTCTTTCATAACCATGACTCTCGTGGACATCAAAACACCTTGGTAAGGGTGACCAGGTTTTTATTTTACATATGTCACATATCTACATACTCAACACACATATCACCATTTTCCCTCAAACAAAGATTGGTTTGAGCGTATGAGGTTTTTCATCGGGACCCCTCATCGGTGTTTTGTTCCCAAGAATGTATCCCGCTTCCCCAAGATACTTTATATCAAACTGTTTGGATAGTTATACCTTCACATTTAACAACACCTTTACACTGTTTTTAATGATAAGGAAGTCATCTACTTATAACACAAGAATACCACCATGTTTTTGTCACTTTTCTTGTACACGCAGTGTTCATCCAGACATTAGCTAAATCCAAAAGATAGGATAATCTCGTCAAAATGGATGTTTCAAGACCGCAAAGATTGCTTCAATCCATAAATGGATCGATCCACCTTACAAACCAGATGCTCTTGGCCCTTTGTGAGAAACATTCTGGTTGCTGCATATAGATGTCCTCATCAAGATTCCCGTTAAGAAAAATTGTCTTGACATCCATCTTTCAGACCTCATAATCCTTATTAGCAGCTCCGACCAAGAGAATTTTGATGGACTTGCGCATGGCCACTGACGAAGGTTGTTATAATCATTGCCCTCTTTATGAGTATACTCTTTCTCAACAAGCCTAGCTTTGAAGGTCCCAACCTTCCCATATGATCCTCTCATTCTCTTATGGACCCATGTACATCCTATGGCGCGAACTCCACTGGGTGGCTCTAAAAGATTCTAGACTTGATTAGAGTCCATTGACTCCATCTCAGTTCTCATCGCACTTTACCAAGACTGAGAGTCTTGATCTTGGAGTGCCTCAGTGTAAGTCCAAGGGCCGATATCAAGTCCATTTGGAACTGTGTCCGAAGACTCTTCCAGAAGTATGAATCGATCGGGCTACCTTACAACATTCCATTACGATGAGGTACTACCAGCTTAGGTGCATCGTCGGTAACACGTGTTGTAGTGTCATGTAGTGTAACATATAATGCACATGGTATTGAAGTACCAACCCCCTTTAACTACTCTAGGACATATCTACTACTAGTCTTGTGATCCATCACATAGTCTTCTTTCAAAAATCGAGTATTCATACTAACGATCACTCTCTGGTTCTTGGGACTATAGAATAGACCATCTTTCGTTTCCTTGGAGTAACCTACAAACAGCCTCACTTTCAAACGTGGTCCCAACTTATCAGCATTTGCCCTCAGCATACGTGTTGGACTATCCCATATATGTATATGTCTTAGACTGGGTTTCCGTCCAATCCATAACTTCATGGATGTAGATGATACTGACTTAGAAGGTAATAGGTTTAGAATGTGAACTGTTGTTTCTAGGGGGTATCCTCAAAACGAATCAGGTAATTAAGCTACTGTAACACATCATTGCCCTAACCATCTACATAAGAGTCATATTTCTTCTCTCTGCTACGTCATGCTGCTGGGACGTACTCGGCACAGTCAGCTGGGACTAAATCTCATTCCCCGATAAATAGTTCCTAAACTCTCCAAAAGGTATTCGCCACTACGATCTGATTGTAATGACTCGATACTCTTACCAAGTTGCTTCTTGGCAACTGTCTTATACTCTAAGAAATTCTCGAAGCATTCAGACTTGCGGCACAATAGATAGAAGTACCCATATCTCGAGTAATCGTCGATGAAAGTAACGAAGTACTCGAAACCACCTCTCGCCTGGAGCAATATAGGACCACACACATCGGAGTGAACGAGTTCTAATAAATCATTGGCTCTATGCTCCTTGTCCTTGAAAAATCTCTTGGTCATGTACCTTCTAGGCATGACTCGTACGTCGGGAAGGCCTCGACTCTGTCGACCTGAAGGGCCCGTCTGCCACCAATCTTTGTATCCTCCTCAGGTTTATATGACCAAGTCTAAGATGTCATAGATATGTTTCATTTATTCTCGAAGGTTCCTTTCTCTTATTATGATTAGTTGACAAATTAAGCAATTTTTTGTGTTACAATGTGGGAGACTTTGGTTCTAGAACATAAAAATTGTATACTAATGATCCAAAACAAATAAATTTCTTACCAAATCGAATAATAACTTTATTATCAAATGAACCAAGAAAACTATTTGCAACAATCTTAGAAACTAAACTAATTTTTTATTCTAAAACTAGGAACATAAAGACAATTGTTCGGCGACATCAGTCGCAAACTTGTGCGACAAACCGCAAAGAGAAACTGCAACCATCGGATGTGCAAATACCCGGTAGATGGTCGCCGGACATTGAAATTTCGGTCCTTGTCTAGAGTAGTCACGCCTCTTAGAATCACTGTCTTGGTAGCTACCTCTTGGTGTTCATTTCGCCGACGTAAATCTTCAATTGGAACATCTCGAACCGACCGTTCTCCATTTCTCTTCAATAAATTGAATTTTTTAGAAATTTAGGATTAAAAAATTTAGGAGTGAAATTAAAATTACTATGAAGGGAAACTACTTAAAATGGTGTTGATTTTCATCTTCAAATTTAAAGTCTCCATTGAAGGACCTTGTTGGTGCCCTTACAGAGGTGGTTTTCAATCTGCCGAAAAAAAAAAAGAGTGGGGGAAGAAAGTCGATAACATAAGCTAAAGAGAGAGAAGTAAAAAAATATACCTATTGAAAAATGCTACAAGTACATAAATATGTACATAACACTCACATAGAGTGAGTTCCACTTGATTTTTTTAGTATGACCCACTTAAGGTGAGTGTTATGTACAACTTCATGTATAGTATTATATACTTATAGCACTGATCCGTACCTCTTAATGTGACCTAAGGCGTAATAAATAGAATCAAAATCAACATATCTAACATAAATAATAAACCATTTTATTAATGTAAAAAATATTTCAAAAATGTTAGAGAGGGTCCTTTTATCACTAAATTGTTAAGGAGCCAATTACGGCCCAAAAGGCCCACACATCACTGGACCTTCTAGCAACTTTTGGAGAATTAATTGTGCAGTTAATTTCACACTTGTGCTTTTCCTCTTCGCACTCTGCCGCATCCCTTTCAGCTCCGCCGTTCTCATTGATTCGCCGGTAAGTTTCTCCATTTTTTCACTCACTGTTCTTTCTCGATCCGTTCTGTTAATCCCTTGCAGCTTCAATCTCTGAATCTACTGTTTTTGTTCCTGGGTTCATTCGTTGTTTGCCGCTTATTTTACGCGTTGATGATGCTCGAGGGATTTCTGTTTTATTTTGCAGGTTGCGTTGTTTGATTCTTGGCACTGTTGACGATGTAAGTATCGTCTTGTTCTTGCGGAGAATTGATGTTCTTTCATGTCCATTTCTATTCAGAAAACTGGATTGATATTAGGAAGTAAACTAGCTATGAGCGTTGATGTATATGGGTGTGATCTTTAATAAGCTGTATTACAGCAAGTTTATGTGATAATGGTTGTGTTTGGATCTGAAGTCTGATATTTAGTTCTGTGAGGCTGTTTGGGTATATTGCTTATGATGGCATTATAAGTGACTGCCTATGATTTACTTGCATTTTATCTAT